TTATACTTCTTATTAGCTGATAAATTAACAGACCTTTAAAATCGAGGGAATGTAATCCACGTATATATATATATATATATATATATATATATATATATATATATATATATATATATATATATATATATATATATATATATATATATATATATATATATATAATTTTGAGTAAATAGTTTATGTTTTGATTATTCGATAGTCTTTTTCAACAACTTTATGATAACCCGAAATAAAAACCAGAAAAAAAAAATTGAACGTTTTTGTCTCAGCAACCATTTGCATAATGCAAAAGTGCCTATTATTAAATGCATTCATAATGAAATGTAATGGTTGCAAGTTTGTATTGAATAAAGAATAAAACGATTCTTATTTAATTATGTATCCTTCAGGACCAACAATGAGAAGGAAGTATTCGAATCTACAATATGTGCATAGATAGTTTATTCTTAGATATATATTTACATACCAGTAATGCTTGTCTTTCATCATCTTCAGTTAATGTCTAATTAACACAGAGTACCATTTTTATGCACATCCTACTCCCAACCTAGTCCTCAAGTATCAAGAAGACAAACCCTAGAATATGACTGTAATGAAATATACTTTGAGGGGGGGGGCAGAAATCTCCCTCTTTTTATAGGATTTTTCATTTTAATGAGTTTTAATTATATCGATAAAACTTAAAACGAAGTTTATGTCGAATAAATGTTCAAACTAAATAAATATATTTCAATGGTTGAGATCATGAGTCAGCTGAAGCTAGACCACCATGGAATAACTGGAAGCACTGGACGGCTGTTTCGTCCTTATATCGGACTCCTCCAGGTTTTCCATGATGGTCTAGCTTCAACCGACTCATGATCTCAACCATTGAAATTACTATAATATCCACAAAACTCCTTCTGAAATAAATATATCACAGAAATTATTACGGAACGATTGGATAACTTATTGTAATGATTAACAACTTAAGATATGAAAAATAATCAAATCTTGAACAGAACGATTATCATTACTGAATCATTCACTTAATAAGCTTAATCCTTTGTATGTTATATCAGTTAGTTCAGTGATAATATGAGAACTTGACAACTAAACAATAATACTATTGTGGTGTGTGTTACTAATGTTGACAGATATAAGTAGTATGTATCATTAATTGAAAGTGAAATGTCTGGAGGCAGAAGGTTAAGAAGATCGAATAAAAGTGAACGAGAACAGATAATGATTGGTGTGTAAACGAAGAGACGATCAATTCTGAGACAATCGATTGACATTTTGCGAATGAAATATTTACTGTATGGTTCTCAGATATTCTGTAATTTTGTGTTTAAATACACTTTATTATCCCTAATTGTATTCTCGTTTACTACACTATATGCTTAAATTTGATGCGTTCCATTTCATTAAATATTTAATTACTACTTTTAACATAACAGCTTCTTATCGTACATTAATAATGAAAATCTCAAAAATGTAGAACTTCAAATCAGTTACACAAGCTAGCAGTTATCTGGACTCAACTGTTCAGTGAATAATGCAGTAATTGTTTAAAGTGAAAGGTAGTGAGCTCAAGTGTCAATGCAAACATCAACATTGAGATGCATGTATATCCAGCTATCGAGTCCCAAGTACGATGAAATACGTAGGCTAAATTCTACTGCTAGCCATAATCAGTATATTCTATTTCGCCAGTTTCGTATCAAATAAACAAAACTCTGAATTACTAGTACAGGGGTTGTGGAGATTATTAAGTTTTTGATTGAGATCATGAACCGATTGATGTTAGACCACCTTTGGAAACCTGGAAGCACTGAACCGCCGTTTCTTCCTATTGTGGGACTACTCAGCAGTGCGCATCCACGGTCCAGTAGGCTAGGAGTTCGCGCGCAAGGCCGAAGGCCCTGGGTTCGAATCCCGCGAGCGGCATCGTGGATGCGCACTTCTGAGGAGTCTCGCAATAGGACGAAATGGCCGTCCAGTGCTTCCAGATTTCCAATGGTGGTCTAACATCAATCGGTTCATGATCTCAATATATATATAAGGGCCAGGATTTGTTTACGTGTCTCCATACAATTAGGATGATTCATCATATTGGTTTATGCATATGAAAAGATTATTCCTATATTTCACATATAATTCCTGGAAAAAAACAGACTCCAATGTTTATATACAGACTTGCATAATTTTGTTTTTAATTATAGCCATCATTACCACTCCCTAATGATCTAGATGTAAGCGCCATCTTAGATTTTGTTTTCCAATAATCAGAATAAAATATATCGGAAAATTGATAAACAATAATAAGAAAACTCATAATCATTTGTCTGTAATGAAAACATAATTTGCATATTAATGCATATATTAGTTGTGGATTTGTTCTTTATAACTTGTATTTAATGATCCTTATTTGATAGACAGGTTTCGTCAAGAGCTGATTGAATACATGACGTAAGCACTGATGATGAAAATGACGCCTAGAATGGTAAAGTAATTTCCGTGATTAAACAACCGAAATTTTAGAGAACATAAAAACCAGAAAATGGTAGAAGTTAAATAATCCTTAGGAAACAAAGAGTACTGGACACTTTCCTTATTCTATCTTAGAAATCAACTCAACAAAAGAGATGAAATCCAAGACTTTTACGTCTTAAAGAGAGTATGATACTTTTCAGAACATTAGGTCGAAATGGAATGATTTAAAACATCAGCTTTACTCAATTTAGAATATACCATGTCTATATGATCATTGAATTTGTGTTGTACTCTTGCCAAAGTTGACTTTACAAGCTATGGATTAATAAAAGTATTCCGATACCTCAGCGCCACAGCTTTAACTTGTCAACATACAACCATCAACAAAATCTTAATGATTCAACAGGGAGTGCATCAAACATCTACAGGTCTGGTAAATAACTTACAGTAATATTAATTCACAAAATTCCATTTCAACAACTTTATTATTCAAAAAGTATTATATAATCAGTACATTTGATCGAAATTTAATATTTACTTGCCAATATCCTTTTCCAAAAATTCGTTCTCAAATATTTTCAAACAAACATTTCATGAATTAAAAGTAAAGGGCTGGAATGAAAACAACTTCAAATCCTAATCTTTTCTACTACTGCTTATACTTTTACTACTTCTACCACTATGGGATTTGAATCGGCAATTGTATCTCTGTGCTGCTAATGTAGTATTGTGGTGTGGGTTACTTATATCCACATAAGTAGTATATAACGGTGGTCAGGCATAGAATGTATTTCAGTAAAAGTTGGAGAAGGAAAGAACGAAAACGGAACGCAGTTGGTATGAAAAGACATGAACAATGAAATCTGAGACAATGGATTGATTTTTGCAACAGGAACAGTGAAGTTTGAGACGATGGATTGAAAATTTGCAAATTAACTCTTTACTATATGGTCATCAGATTTTATTGAGATGCTCTGTAATTTCATGTCAATTACATTTGATTGCCTCCACTCGTGTTCTTGTTCACTATAGTACGGCAATTTGAACTGATGAACGTACGTACAAAGTTCTACGTTGTTGCTGACTGACCGACTTGAGAAGTACTAACACTAATGTTTAGTGATCTAATTAAGCATAAACTCCATCAAAAGCGATTCATTTTGGAAACCACTGTAATAAAATTTTTAATATTAAATTTTTTTTGAAGTGTTTTAAAGTAATTATACAGCGAAGATGTACAATCAAAATTGAAAACTTCATAATTCTTAACTTAAATTCTATTTTTCCCTATTTTATTTATTTAAACACATAAACACTGGTACAAAGAGGCACCAAATAGATATGCGCCACATAGATCATTCGTTTTGCGTGAGGGTTGGGATATTGTCCGGGTGCCCTAACCGAAGCAGGTGGTTTCCTTAGAGGGCCTCATCCGGAGCCTTTGACCTAAAGGTCTAGTCCACAAGGCAGTGGGTCAACGTCAGGGGACGCTGTCCTATGGTAGCCGATGATCAACAATTGGTTCATACGCCATTTGTCCCCTCAGGATCCTGGAGCCTATGTGCACCATTGGTTTCGAATGAGGGTTTTCCAACTCCCCTAGGTAAATCCTCCATAACCCTCAACCCAGTTAAAGCGCTGGACATTCGCTTTTTGTCCTGACAATTTCGTAAACAATACCCGTGGTGTGAGAAGGCAATGAGTAAGACTTTCCTGGCAGTGGCTGGATGCACGTCGCCATGTGAGAGAGGGAGAGTTGACTCGTACCACCCTCGGCCGTACCAGAGCATTTGGAGGCATTCCTCTCTGTTAATCTTCAATCGTCATTCAGTTATATTCAACGTAGAACCTGATTCAATTTCTCACAACACATTAACATAAAGATATGAAACTATGAAGACAAATCTTAGAGTAGAAGTAATAGTAACAGTAACCATATCACAGATCACTATGAACGATAAATCTAATCGGCCTAATAATTCTATTAAACTCATCCAAAGATCTTGTTGTAAAATAATTTAATGAATTAACATCACTTTACTTACTGATACAAATTAATTTACACATGATTCTGAATAGAGAAAAAGAAAACCTATATTCAACACAAAAACACAACCCATTCAACAATACAAATAACTATTGTTGGTACAATTAGTACGTTTATACTTGAAAAGCTGTTTGAAAATGGAAGAAGAAGAAGAAGAAGAAGAAGAAAAAAAAAACAGAAGAAACAAGTGCGCAAAAACAACACACACACACAGGTAGTTACATTGATTAAAGTACTGAGAGATGATTAAGCGAGAGAAAATATTGCCAAGCGAATAGGTTGTTCATATTGCATCAAGAAAAATCATAATCGCATCAAGTTCACTTACAAGATTATAATACTGTCAAGATAATTGAAAATAAACATCAAAACTGGCAATGAAAAACGATGTGGTAAAATAACAAGGAGAGTAAGAAAATACAAATTATTTGAATTAGATAAATGTACACATACGCACATACATACATACATACATACATACATACATACATACATACATACACACATTCTATCACACACAAATGGGATACAAAAGAGACCTTTAAAGGGGTAAAAATTAAGGACAACAACAACAAGGAATGTTACATTTGATTTGATTGATTGATTTTTTGAATAAGGTAGATAGAAAACAGTCTATAAAATTATGATTCAGTTTCTAAACTTGATACCCGTGATGAATTAGTGACTTTTAGAAATTCTAATAACATTTCATTTTCATTAGCTTGAATAAATTCATCATAATCCTATTGAAATATAAAAAAAGGATACATATACTGATGAAAAGGTTAATTCATGTGAATCAGAGAAATGAGTGAGTAATTTATTAAATGTAATCACTTAGTTAATTCATTATTAATTCAGTTTAGTCAGTCAGATACAACGTAGAACTAGGCACATATATGTATGCATCGATCCAAGTTGCCATACCTCATTAACACAACAAGATGAACACCAAATTCAGTCTGTCAGTCAGTCAGCTACAACGTAAGACCAGGCACATAAATACATCGGTCCAAGTTGCCATACCTCATTAACACAACAAAATGGACACCGGACTCATAAAAGAAAGATTGCAATAAGGATATAGTACAGGAGGAAAGAATTAGTTCGTAGAAAGAAAGATATGAAAAGATTTTAATCTCTTAGTTTAAAGGAAGACAGAGAGTGTATACACCGACGCCATCGTGGTCGATTCTGAGCCATGTCACCAAGAGTCTCCAACCATTGATTACGATAGTCATGTGGACCCCAGCCAAGCAGTCTGCATCTACCGAATTCATAGAAGCAGTTACTTCAATGGCAGTAATATAGAAAAGAAAGATTTTGTATAAGGAAATAATACAGGAAGAAAGAATTAGTTCGTAAAAAGAAAGGTTTAAAGCTATTTTAATCTCACGGTTTAAGAGAAGATAGAGGGTATATACATTTATTCGATTGTGATCGATTCTGAAACATTTCACTCAGTCTCCAACCATTGGTTTCGATAGTGGCGTGGACCCCAACCAATTAGTCTGTATCTACCAACATGGCTCAGACTAGAAGTTATTGACTTTATGAACTGATGTCACGTTTTGCTTTGGCCACTTTTAACTTTCATCCGACCATCCTCAACACTAATCAGCATTGCACATCGTGGTAATCGATGTTCAGGCATACGTAACACGTGGCCCAACCATTTCAGTCGATGAAGATTTACAACCTAGACTGAGACACAATTGTATCCTGCTCTAACATTCATTATGACTGACTTTGTATATACTGATTTTAATTGCCTTTGTTTAAAGACCTGTTATATTTACTTTGACAATAAGAATTGATGTCATAAATGACACTTCATCAAGTTCTTATTTCTACCACTAAATTTATGTTGACGAGAACTGTGAGAAACTAAGCAATTGTATGGATTTATGTCAGATCACACGCTTCTTATGAGTTAATGACTAAATCATGGAGCCTTCTGAATATGTAGTATAAAGCTATGCTATTATATGTAGAGGACGGGGGGCAAAGATATGACCCAGATATTTAGAACGAAGGATGATGATTGACGTAGTTCTGGTAACCCACTAGTTGCTTAGTTGTATACTTAAGTAAGTCAGAAATAATTCACTATATAGGGCCAGATATATTTCAGACATCCTAATGACATCATATCACAATAAGCAAGCTGCAGGAACACAAAATTGTAACAAGATTCAAAATATAGGTTTAAGTGTAAATACGTGTGCATTCGAATTATAAGATAATTCACGTATCAAAAGATTAAGCATGGTTTATCAGATAGTAAATCATCCGTTAAAATAATGATGGATTTCATATCTACTCATCATGGCGTATGATTAGTAAAGTCGTAAAATGAACTAAACATGAGATTGTAATCTCCCAAAAATGTATTAAAATAACAAAAGAAATTCTTTTTAGGATGTTACACGTGGCCTCAATCACAATTGTGAAGGAAACAGAATTACTTTGTAACTACATGGGTATACTAAGCCTAGCAGTGAAATCCAAGATGCTCATTATGTTATATTTCAACCTATCAGTCGCATGTGTCTGCATCCTAATGTTGGTGTGTACAATGGGACTCGAACCAGCTCCTCCTCACTTTAAACCATAAAGTTGTATCTACCGAACTACTAAATCCAGATAGCTAATGTTACTAAAAACTTTTGACTAAATGGCAATATCCAGGTAATCCGTTCAAGATGTATATATATACAAATAAAGACATATTAATTGCGTTTTTTATCAACATAGGGAAAATACAAACCCTTACAAACTAATGAGAGAAAACTGAATGTGTGAAACAATTTTTCTAAAATCTTGACAACCAAAGTGCGAGAATGATTGTACCGGAATGCACACTCACATTTACTCAACATGAGATCATCCAATACTTTGAAAAATTTCTTCTGTTAAGATTAACATGTTCGTGGATATTCGATTTTTAAAAATAAATCAGATTGATTTCGTAAACGAATTTGTTCTCCTGAGACTTAAACGCATTATTATTCGTAATTCATTCTACATACTGGTAGATAGTTGCAGAATCCCCCATCACATCAATAAACAACGGTTAGAACACAAAGAACACTTTACTGAGACAAAGACCAGTTTCGTCGGGGGTTACTGATTCAGTTGCTTCATTAGAGTAATTATAAGTTAGGGGTGAAGCCAGATGATTTAAGTCAAGAAAACAATCACTATACCGCCACCCTTTTAAATAAATGAATTCAGTAATAAAAGGAAACAAACACTGTATTTTTCAGTATTAGACATAATTCCTTTTGTTTCACAAGACTGTACTTTGCAATAGTTGGCTAGCAAGAATACAATTACAACAATAATACAACCAGTTAATGCCCTACAAATACAAGATGGATAGTTTTGTGGATTAACAGTTACTTCTCCAGTAAGATGTATTACATGGAGCTCAGAGAATCACGTGACAGTGGAGCAATGCAAACATTGTAATTTCTTGCAAGAAAAATCAACTTTGAGTGATAGCCAGTGAAACATTTTCAAAGACTAACTGCCTCTTCATGGAAATTGATTTGTTTTCTTTTTTGTTTAGATAGATACCATATTTATGTCGCATGGTTTCGTGGTCCGTCTTTTAGTACGCAAGATGTACCACATTATAAATCACCTTAACAATATCACTAATGGTCGTTATTATGAAGTGTAATTTTACCAGAACTAGTAACTGTTAACATCAATGAAAATAAAAGGCTCTATGACAAGATACTAAAGATATTTTTTAAAGAAATATTGTTTCCGGTATTGAAGTTTTCTCTATATTAACATGCCTCTCTTAACAGAGACTAAACGACAAGGCTAAGAAATAGCCATATCATGGTATGATATGATTGACATGGGGCTTGTCTAAAGGGGCTCAAACCCTCCTATAAACCATGGTCTGGAAATAATACGGAAAAAACAACAGTTATACATGAAAAAGCCAAAAATTGGCTGTGAATAAAAGACTGTAAATGATCGACTAGCAGCAAATAAGAAACGGTATATCGTATGACAGTAGTTAATGGGTCGACCAAAAGCTAATGATAAATGGAATGTGTAGACAAAGTAATCTAGCTACCTAATAGTTATACAAGAAGAATATATATAGATGCATTCCGTAAACTAGCTCTGGGTGTAGCTACTCCTTCAATTTTCGTCCTGATATATCAAGTTCAAGCAGTCACCCCATTAGCACAGCGAGATAAAAGTGTCAAGATAAACACCAGGATAGTAAAGGTATTAGTGGTGATAAAAATGATTAGGCATTGAAGATGGAACCCGAGAAAACATATATTGGTGGGACAAGAAAATTACTAGGTAATTTAGCAACTTATGATCTAAGAGAAAACAATGAGTGAATGCATTTGTGCTACTCAGAAGGATTCTGAGATATGTTACTCAATCTTTAACCAGTGATTACGATAGTCAGGCAAACCCCAACCAGGCATTCTACATTTACCTACATGGCTCAGTCCAATAATCAGTGTCTTTATAAACTGACCCCATGTCCTGGTCTGACTTCCCATAACTTTCTTGAAACCTATTTCTACAACAGCGTGTTGACGTAGTCGGTGGAAGCGCATAAGTAATACATGTCCTAATCCTCTCAGTCGTTGAAGATTCAAGATGCCAGACACTGCTATCGGGTTTTCTATGATTATTATGGAACTTTTACAACACATGGAAGCACATAAGAATATCTGCAGAAAGTTGGAGACCACGAGCTGTCACCAAACCTCATGAATAATGTCGGAAGCTACATTTCAGAAGATTAAATGATTATCTTTATGATCGTCATTATAAATAGTACGTGAGAATAGGATTTTCGGAAGCTTCAGCTAGTTACTTATCAAAGTGTAACATGTTGCTGAAATGATTTCAATCAAATAACAGGACAGAATGCGCTCAGTGGCAATCACTACAACTAGCAGAAAGTAGTTAACTCTATCTAAATACTAAATAAATCAGAAATATAAACAGGATTTGTACAGTTTGTTGATACTTCAAGCATTAAGTTCTAAATTTTTGAGCAACCTAACAGTACGTATAAAGAAGCACAGCTAAAACCCACAAGTGGTTAGGCAACTAACAGACGGTTTTCATTATCCGTAGCTACAATGCCACTGTATAGTAGGAAGTTCTACAAAGACTCAGCTTGTTGTAAGCATATAAGGCTCGCGAGTGACCTTGGATTACTGAGGGCTTAGACTGCTTTGTGTACTCATTTATCATAATGTTTTTGTTGACAAGATAGAGCCTTGATATACTAGTCCTACAAATCAACTCACATTTATGATACCAAAAAATATACCAGGCAAGAAGAAATCATATTTCTGTGGGTGAACGAATGAAAGGGAAACATTGAGTAATAAGAATGATACAAACATTTGAGAATACAATTTAAATGAAAACACTGAATAGACAAACCCTACATCTCCAAAATATTTCTTAGCGTTTAAGAACATCATAAACGCACTCAACTCGCCATTAGGTCTCATCTAGAATCATGTTTGATTTCCAGAATCTCAACTAAGTAGAAATGTTCCGGTATATGGTAATCTGAAAGAGCTACCTCTGGATCTCGGGTGCTGTATGATGGGTTGGTGGTTGCTATACCCATACTATGCAGTTTTAGTATCAACAACTAGGGATCAACAGACGTTTTTGATGTAGGCAGTATTCATATTATGTGGCTATCTCATGTAAAAACTGTTTTTGAGGCGTAAACGAGCACTTCCTTTGTTTTACAGTTTTAGCCTAAGTAACAGCTTTGGAGTCAGACCGAACCAAAAGATCTTCAGCAAGAACCATGATCATTAATTTTAAAACGAACGAGTGAGAGAAATGTTAGGTGATGAAACAAGAGTGAAGCTCCGATTCATCTAAATATCTACAACAGGTAACCCATGTAGATGTCAGATCTTTGTATGCCTCTACAAGCATAAAAAGCCTACGATAAAATATACCTCGAAGCATTTTCTGGAAATGCAGCAAGCAGTAAACCAACATCATGAACAGAACACACAGTTCTGCTAGGAGCAGAGTAAACTAACTACACGTGTTAAAGATTTGCTTTATCCAAAATATGACAGCTACTAGTTTACTAGTGTACATACTTCATCACAAAGAATTATTCAAAACGATCTTCCTTGACATACCCCTAGATATTCCGACCCAAGAAATAGCTGAGGAGCTATTATTGTTTTCCCATTTTCTTCGAGAGCCTTGAACATGAATTGTTTGTCAGTCTCTGAGGATGATATATCTTTTACTTCAAAGGGTATCTTAGCTGCACTAAGTATGTTTATAATATATTGTTGTCTACTTTTGACCTGCAATAGTTTAATAAGATATTTATGAAAAAAATACTTTTGTATTTCCTGAGGTCGATGATATATAAACATCCACAACCATGATTTCGCACTTTCAGTGTTCCGCCAAATGAACAAATACAACCTTGTCATTGTCCTAATATGTTGCTATGACACTATTTTTACAATATACTTCGTTGAAAAGAGAATGTCAAATTTATCTACCAGAATATCTCAGAACCTGATGGTAGAATGTGAAGAAATGTTTTTGGAGATTAAGCAGTGTACCCATCTATTGCTTGTTTCGAACTTCAGACTTCAGTAATAAGGATAGGGGGTCTATCGACTTACATTAATCCTTACAGTTTGTAATACTGTGGAGGTCCAATCTCGTTTTGAATATATTAACAGAAGGTGCTGATATGACGTGTTCTGGTAGAGAATCTCAGTAATTCACTACTCGGTGCGAGATACGAAACTCCACATGTAGATGATTTGATCTCAGCTTTTGAACTTTCTTATAATGTCCCCTCAAATGATCAATCCTAGATGGAAGTAAAAGATAGGACATGTTAATACCAAGGTCATCGTTCAGTTTACGATAAGCCAACATTAGATCACCCCGTATTCTACGGTAAGATAACGTAAATAAGTTAAGGTATCTCAGTTTGTCTTCATAAGATAGGCCAGATAGACCTTGTACCATCTTATTACCTCGTCGTTGGACTCTTTCCAGCATCTCTGCTTCATACTTGAAAGAAGGAATCCCTGCTTGAATCCCATATTCTAAATGTTGTCGCACATAAATCGGGCATAAAAATCTAAACATCTTATCATCTAAATACTGAAAAGACCTACGAGTAGACCATAATACCCTACAGCCTTACGCAGCAGCAGCCTAACAGTGACTGGTGGTTTTGAGATCATTGTTTCATATGACTACTAAATCTTATTAGTTTCTTACTTTGGGTAGCACGAATCCACTTATTCTGTAGTGATACGATTAATCGTAGTTATTTATTTTCATCGCTACACTGTTATTAGGATTTACTTCTAGTGACCATCTGTCCAACCATGCCTCTTAACTATGACCTTAAACATTTAATATGATTGAAGTGAGTCCGTTCAAATGGTTCAAATGCTTTTGGATGGAAGAGAAGAAGCTTTCGCCTATCGGGCTTTCGTATCTACTAGCGGTAGATCACCAATACCTCTAGTCAGGAACTTAGGTATTGCGGTGTTAAATAAATACCCATAATAAACAGCTCTATAAGTTTTCGACATCGGATGCTGACCACATTAGTTTTAATGGACTAACATAGCTGAAGGCGTTCGGTCATGCATCCTCACCAGATCACGAGTGGGAACGCTGTACTCAACAAACTCTAAGGTCGCTAGCCAGATTATATCGGACGATCCTCGATAAATTGATAGCCTATCAAATATATCTTCAAACCTCCTCGCTTCTGTCTCTTGATTTCAATTGGTGAGAACGATTCATATTAGGTGTTACTGGTCAAAGTCTTGTCATACGCCGAATACCTGTGGCATCTTCAATATATTATTATTAAAAGACGAAAAAGAAAAAATGGTTGTAAATCATAGTGAGATACTTTCATTAGTACTTAGGGACATGTCAAGTTTTCTCGTAAAGAGTGCTTTGCTTTCTAGTATTCTTACAGTCGTGGACATTTTTTTCTTTTCCTAAAAAAGAGTTCAAAATTTTGATTGTGTAAAATATGCTTTGATATCGCATGTAAGTCGATTTCATTCCATGTTTCGCTTCGTCAATCACGTACGTGTGTATGTCGATATGCACCGTCAATTTTGTTTTCTCTCCTAGGCGCCTCGAAATGATGAAGTCACGACGAAGAATATTCATTGTATAATTTCGTTCATTGCTGTATTGTGCCACATGACCTTCCATATTATGGAAAGACAACCAGAGACTGCTAAACATAGCAAGCTATCAGAAAAGTGTATATCCACAGTGGGCTCTTTGGAATTCAACTTCTGATTGACCACGTATTATGGTCATCCCTACCTCACTATTGGAGAAGTAAGCTAAAGCAGTAAATCAATCCTCGAAACACTTAGTTTCGTTAATCCCCCACATCGATGTGCACCTTATTAACTTTACTGGAAACCGGACCCTGACTCAACATTTTGATCAGGTTGGTATACACTGATTATAAAGGTGTTTTGTGTAAGAAACCGAATACATGTGTAGCGTGGCGTCGAGTTGAGATTAACTATGAACACCGCTACAAAGAAACACGTGCCAAATAAATCAGAAGGCGAGGGTTGGACGTAACCAAATAGATCCATGAAATCCCCGAGAAGCCAAATACCAGAAGGCAATTAATGGACCAAGCCGAGGTTTATTAGCTGGCGATCTCGTGGCATCGAAAGGATACCGAGATCGTGCCAGGATACAACCTTGGTTACAGAAGGTAACCGAATTCGCGCGAAGTTACAATCAAAGTGTAAGTAAAAGAATGGAAACACAAAATAGCTGTCATTAGCACAGTCAAACAAAAGCACGTTAAAACAAACACTGGTACAGTTGGTTATAATAATAATTGTTTTTATTAAACCAGTCGTGTTCTCGTGATAAACGTGAGTCACTACACATGTATCATCTTTAACCTATTTCGATGGGGCAAAGATTTTAGTTGACCATTGTGTATCCCTATTGTTCCAAAGTCAGAGAATATCCAGATAAGTACTAAATTAGACATGGTCCTGAAAGTTCAACTGGAGACCTTAAATAGTATATCAAGAGGAAGACAGTCACTATCCATTCTTTCTGGAAATAACATTTATCAAGCAATGTGTCAATTAAAAAGAATCACGAGTCAGCTGTGATAAGAATTGCTGGAAAAACCGTTTTTTTTCTTTGAAGTACCCTGCAATGTGTGCCTCCGGCTACCGTTTGTTTAAATACAGCTCTTATTATTTATTTTTATTTGCCCTCGTTTTCGTCTTTCAAGGTTTCAAGGAAATGATAATTTCAGTTGTCCTATTGTTCATTTGTGGAATTTTCAAAGAATGTATGTTGCTTATGACTTAATTTTTTAAGTATTATCCATGGAGTGCTATGTGTGCAGGAATCAGGAAGGAAATAAAGATAAGTGTATCAAAACTACAATGCAATGTCTAGAAGATGAACACTCTTGTATAACCAATATTTCATATACGAGTAAGCTGATTGCATTTTAATTTTAATAACACTAAAGATAGGTCTCGTAATTTTCACTTAAATTGTGTTATGGGTTTTTAGCACTGGTAATACTGGCCGAGATGAGAACTTGTTGCTGCTGACCTGTAATACCGAAATTGTTTCAATTCACATTCCGTGCACATTTTGTCGTTAGAAATGCTGAAGATAAATAAGGTGTTGGCATCTCATCTTCCCTGAAGATCGTTCTCTTAGAAGACCTACTAACTCCTGCAAAATATGGGCTTAGAACTTATTTCCAAAGTCATGAAGACTTTAAATATGAGCAAAACTCTTCATAGTTTTCTAAACACGTAGACAACACTTACTGGTAATCACAAATCCCGTCAAATTTTGATGATATGATATTGTTGATTAATTTGTCGAACACTATAAGTTTTGTCCTCTCTTCATGAACTAAGGTGCTTATGTGTGTCATTTTCTACTCAAAACTCACAGCACAGTTTGTTATTATTTGAGTTGTGAATCGCAATCATCTTAGTTGACAGCAAACTAAATGTTTGTGACAATGTCATATTCAGTCTTCAGTAATAAGGATAGTTGATGAACCTGTATTAATCCTGACACACTGCTTTCAGTGAAGGTCCAGCTTTTCTTTCGAACAAAGTATCTTGACACTTTTCATGTATATTAGGTTTGAAAACTAGGATGGCCTCGAACACGAATCAATGATTTTTTTTATGTAAGACTAGCTTTCATCTGATTGATTACTTGCTATTTGACTTCTTACTATTCTTCTCAAGTAATTGGTTACTTGACCGCGGACTACTATGCGTCTGCTTAGTGATTGAGTCTCAGAGATCATAAGTTACAACTAGGAATAAAGTAAATACTAGCATACCTATCTAGTGAGCAACATAACTGCTAGTAGAAAAAGTCATAAAAATGTTGGTGGAGAGAAGTGAAGGACGTGGGAAAAATGTACGAGGAAAGGAAGCAGAGATTGCTTCTTGAGCTCTATATTGTTATAATATGAGATTCTACCAAAAGTTTGCACTTTTCTGATACTTACTTTGTTACTTGATATAGTGTACTAAGAAATAGATGTAGACATCTTAATTCAATTTTATGGATATATAGCGTTTCCAAAATCAAATTATTGTTCCTTACATAGTAGTACTGATAGTCCTTAGCAATAAGTTTTTCTTCATGCCTAATTTTCACCTCAAGATCTATTTATAATCCCATAATTTTACATTGAGAGCTAACGTGTTCTACAGAATATTGTGAATCCTCTTTTAACTGGTCTACCGATATGTCCTTATGATAAACCAGCAATCACATTAACTAGACAGATCTCAAAAATTTCGAAAGTTGTTTCATATTACAGATGTTATCTAGTAATTTGAAAATTCTCTTATTCTACGATGATCATATTCAGGCCTTTTCAAGAAATCAAGGCACTGAAATGTTTGCTTACATGTAAAACCAACCATTTAGAAAATATCACCCACTAATCATCAGTTTTACTGAGACGAATCATGGTCTACCAGTAGTCCAGCAAACATTCTTTATGAGCGTATACCATTTACGAAACTCACAAAATTTAAAAATGTCAAGATACCGTTCAATAACAAAATAAGGTTCTGAACGCGTAAACATACAAACACTACTGTCATAATAAGACCTGATATCTGGACATATTGCCTAACACTTAATTCAAGTGTGTGTCATTTCCTTTCAGTTGAATTAAAATAAACTCTACTTAAAAAAACTAAAATACTAGTAAGAACATTGTGAAAATGGTATTTTGATTTCAAACACTTGACTATAAGCTGAACCATGATTAACTATAAATCACTTGTCAATTAATGTAAGCTACTTCATAAGTTGATTACTAAAGATGTTACATTTAGTGAATAACCTTTTGCGTGATATTTTTAAGTTTACTACATCGTT